CACACACACACACACACACACACACACACACACACACACACACACACGTTTAAAGGGCTGCAGGAGTGCTGGGTGGCTGTACAAGGACACTAAGGACTGGGAACACCCTCCGAGCCAGAGAACAAAGGCACTTGGGCTTCAGCTGTGGATCCCACTGCAGGAAGTGCTGTGATACCCTACAAACCCTCAAAAGTCTCAGCACAGTCAGCACTTAGACACAGAGGTCCTCGCTGGCCAGACCAAGCAGCATAGCAGCCTTGAGACAGCTGAGACAAACATATAGACATCAGCAATAAGCTTGAACTCTGGAATCCTGCCCCACAGAAGGCCCTATAAGGAAGCAAAGCCCTTACTCCAACAAGCCTAAAACAAGTTGAAAAAACAAGTGTGAGCTAAATAGATTTATTTTCTTTGTTACTGTCTCAAATATTTTGTTAAACTAGCAATAAATGGAATAATCAATCCTCTTCATTGCTTGTAATGGCTATCTGAGATGAATATTTTATTTTTATTTTTAAAATATTAATGGTAAAGAAGCAAAGTGATTTGTATGAAACCACATAATTGAGAAAGGGCAGTACTGAGCTTCACAATTTCTTCACTGTTGAAAGCTGAAAAAGGAGCTATTTATCCTAAAATGTTTAACTACTTTCCAGGCAAAGAAGATAAAATAATGTAAGGCAAGTAAGCCATTCACAGAAACAATAAGAAAAATCTTATACAAAAGTCCTGACCAAAGTTCTAGAATAAATTAAGCTGCGGAAATAATAATAAAAATGAAGGCTTTTGTTTTCCAGACCAATATTTTTTCTATAAATTACATTGTTCTGTTTTCTTCTAAGATCTTAAGAGAAAGGATAGAACCCATTAAGACTGTGTAAGAACCGGTACCAGTGGCTCATGCCTGTAATCCTAGCTACTCAGGAGGCTAAGATCTGAGAATCACAGTTCAAGGCTAGCCCAGGAAGTTAAGTCCATGTGACTCTTAGCTCTAATAAACCACTCAAAAAACCAGAAGTGGCACTGTAGTTCAAGTGGTAGAGCACTAGTCTTGAGCTGAAGAGCTGAAGGACAGCACCCATGCCCAGAGCTCAAGCCCCACAACCGACCAAAAAATAAACAAAAAACAATAACAACAACAAAAAACTGTGTAAATATCAGCGATTCAAATTCAAAGGTACTGGCAGTGAGCTCACATGACAAGGATGAGTTTAATTCTTTTTAAATGCATGTGTTTCATGGGTTTATTTAAAAATAGTAATTTTATTAACATCCATCATAAACAAAGGACTTGTTTAGAAGCTGGGTGCTGGTGGCTCATGCCTGTGATCCTAGCTACGTAGGAGGCTAAGATCTGAGTATCACTATTT